CCCTGAACGGCGCCATCCACTCTGCTGATGCTTAAAAGCTGTCACTTCTTGTATTCCAACTGGTCAACTTTATAAAACCCAGAACTCGAAGCACCTTACGTAAGCCGATCTTTTAATACTACATTCATTCTAATTATTCCTGTTATTTAATACACCACAAGTTCCTGGAAGTGAGTATGAATACTAGGAAAATTACTGGGGTTTTGCTTTGCATATAACTTAATCTTTTTAAAAGGGAATTATCTAGCGGATATTTGGGCATCTCCAAGTTGTATCTCATGTCAGAAATCCTGGCAGCTAAGGCCTGTGGATAAATTAATACAGTTAACCACTGTGTAAATTCATTCTGCCTGATGGAATCCCTATCYTTTAGGACTGCACAAAAGTAAAGTATTTCACTTATAAAATCTTAGAAGTGTTAAAAGCTGCATTGTTCACTCTATAGYGAATTCTTTCTTGCTACACAGAAACATCAAAAAAGAACAAGGATGTCATGTTTTCCATATAGAGGCTCTTATGGAATTCAGTGATAAAGCAAAGTCAGGAAGAGGTGGAGCAGCACATCAGCCCCACTCATCGGATGCTGGGACAGGGAGAACTTAACAAAACAGGAGTGAGTTTACAGAGTTAACCCGTGCAGAGCCCCCAGTGCAAAGAAATAAACAGCACAAAAAAGGAGGATTTATCTGGAGYGGCAGATGTGCCTGGCAGATAGCATCTATGTCTGAACAAGGGACTCCTTCCACGCAAATCTTTYGGGGCTGCAATACTGGGCTATCTCCTCTCCACAGAACTTCCACCCCACAGTGYTTGGTTATTTATTACAACCTTCCAGAGCACCATGGCACTGCCACTCTCCAAGAGATCCTAAACACACTATTCAGCAGTTTTGATTATGGTTTCCAGAGCAGTTGATCTTTTTTGTCTTTCWTTATTGGAGTATATTATCTGCTTTCATAAGCTTTAAGCTGCTTAGAAATTGAGCGGGGGAAGAGAAACTAAAGAAAATACAGTTATTCATTTCTGATGGATACACTCGTTCTGAACCTTCTGTGAACTTTAAAAACAGAAGAAAGTTCTGCAGTTCTAACCTATTACAGAATATGGACATTTAAAAAAAAAAAGACTTGCCGTGCCCTAAAATCAAGTCTTCCTCTTTCTTCCAAACCAAGAGCATCTGAACTCATTTGTTGACGCTTAGTGACCTGCGACAGCAATTTGCAGAACTTACTTTTGACATGGCCTTACATGAACTCAAATTCCCAAAGAGCTGAACAMTCTAAACAGAAACCAAATGTGCAGCTGATATTGTTAATAATTATAACGTATTATTTATATATTTACTAATAACAATGGTAACAACAACAACAGAAGGTGAAAATGCAGAGGGAAAAGCATCTATTAAGCAGGTTGYCAAGAGGCCAGGGGCATTAAACAGATTATCAAGGCACAAGTGGGATCTGAATCACCAGGTAGCTGCTATGCAGATGATTTTCCACAAAGATGGCACTTACAGAATGAAAGGCAAAACAAATGAGACAGAAGTTGCCAAAAACTGTGGAACAATAACAAAAGTCACCCAGCAAATGARAGGGGAACCCATAGGAAGGAGCTCTGAAGACCACATATACTCAGAGTTTCTGGAAAAGCAGAGTGAACAACCTCAAAGGGTGACAAAAGCAAAAYGCAAAGAAGTGAAAGTGTGTCATGTTTGGAAAGCCTGTCATAAGCTGGATATGATACTGTGTGTGGGCCATATAAGCAAATAATAGTGGGAGGTGCAACGTTAATTTTAAGGGAGTCATCAGGGAGAGATARAGAGGAAAACATTGGCCAGGAAGATGTGAAACTCAAGGGTTATTTTAAGAAACCAGGAAATGTACATAAGAATTTATTCATGGATAGAAGGAATGTTAAAAGAGAAACATTGGTCCAAGGGAAGGCAATAAGCTATAGGGCTTGAAATGAGGTCACAGCAAGAATGATGATGTGAAAGTCAAAGGTTTTGGGTTTGGTTTTTTAAATTTTTGATTGTTGTTATGCTGCTACTAAAATCAGATACACTGCAAGTGGAAAGGGTTTAGAAAATCAAAACCTGAGCCTAATGAAAGGAGAATTCAATGGGACCAGAAGGTTGGGTGACTGCTCTTCCACGAGTTCACCTGACACCAGTGGCAAACTCCTCACTCCCTCTCTTCCAACTGACCTACTCTTACTTTTTGATTTGTATTTTTTTAAATAGCAACACAGGTTATTATAGTCAAGGCCACTTTGAACCAATTATTCTTGTTGTTTGATCGTGCCTTCTTCCACCTTACATTGCACCAAATGAACCACGTTATAAATGGAACCAATAGCAATTATGAACTTCCCACCCACCAAACTGGTCAATGGTTGCACCACAAAGACATAAATGACAGGCTTGGAAGGGGCCTGTTTTTCAGCCCAGCCCCCAGAATCAAGCAGGATTTTCTTCTCCACTCATGTTAAAAGCATTTTATCTGAGCTGTATCATTATATTATAAACAGCAGCAACTCAGCAATTGCATGAGAAAAGTATGTTCTGAAACCACCTTGCCTACACTGCTGCATTTTTTCCCCCCTCTCATCCAGCCTGGGCTATCTAGTTTTATTTTTCTGTATATCCAGCCACCAAGTAATTTTTTTATCTCTATGGCATCTATATAAGCTAGTATGGCAAAAGAAATGTCATGTTACCCAGACTGAGAGGTAACAGCAGTGTGACACTTCACTCACCAACACTTGAGATTTCAGTGTGTTCCCCTGATGTACAACCAACTGTAGGTTTGTTATTTGCCAGAAATATTGCTCATTCATTATTTAAAGCAATATTCAGTGTGGCATTTCCAAAAAGCACCTTTCAAACCCTGATGAGGAGCTGATAATCTACTAAGTCATGGTTTATATATACAAACAGCACTTCTGGCCATGATTTCTAATTTGCTCTGTCCAGATCTGAAACAAATCTGTGCTGCCCAGCAAAGCTGGGTTTCAGCYTGCAGGAATTAAGAGATTCTGTGGGAACTCAAGAAGACGTGACAAAGGTTCAAGTGTTTGGCATGCTTAGAGACTTACCTTGTTGGCAACAGATTTATTAGCTATCTACTTTATTAGCTAATAGTTTATAATGATACCACAGCTTGTGAAAACACATATTTGCCCAGATAAAGGAGGTAAGAGCTAYGTCACGTACAGATGATAATAGAGCAAGTAGACAAACCATTTATTGTATAAACAAAAAAAGCTGCAGAGCAAAGAGACAGTGCTGCAGCTGGATAAAGGGTTGGTTTTTTAAGKCAAATAAAATAATCCGAGCGTAGAATGGCCATGCTTCAAACTCCTACCCAACCTGCTCTGCAACTTAGTGCTGCACTATGAATGAAAATGTCTGAAAAATATCTGACTGCAGCTATGGATTCAGTAATACAACCGAGCAGAACTTTATTTTTTCCCTCATTAATTAAAGTTTGTTTTATGCATCTTTTCTAAAATAATCTTTGCCACCAAGTACTCCCAGCTTTTTGTGATGTGGTGCAAGAAGTTTTTCCTTAAGTACTTCATGCACATTGTTATCTAAATAAAATCACCTTCAGCTTTAATGGAGTGTAAGGAGATTGGCTTTGGGCCAGGTATGAGCACTCTAAAGGTATTTCTACATGAATACCTTTCCTATTTTGCTGTTTCCCTGGAACTTACAATGATTAAAGTCCTTCTGAGTTCTGAAGCACCAAAAAGTTGATGCCACAGATTGTAACATGGAGTTATCCACAGCAGATACACAATTCTGTCTATGTATTAAACAGGAATGTAGGAATTCTGTGCCACTTGGGAGTTGCAGTGGTTTTRCAGTATTCGTAATGAACCTTTAAATACAAAGTGCAGTCAGATAGAGTAACTCAACACACACTGGGTGACCATTTTTAGACATCACAGAATATTCTGAGTCTGGGAAAGGACCCACGAGGATCAAGTCCACATCTTAAGTGAATGGCTCATATGGAGATCAAACTGGCAACTTTGAAGTTCTTAGCTTCATGCCTTAAACAACTGAGCTAATCTCAGGTTCAGAGCTTTTCCGGTTTTTATTCCATAAACACCTGCTTRTTTTTTCAGTAAGGGATGCTACACTGGTGTTTATTTGCTATGGAATAAAGCCTCRGAATTTCTAAATATAAGACAAATTATTTTGAAAAGGGCAGGTCTCTGTTTTGGTTGGTGWTATCAGTTAAAAGCATACTACAAAGATACTAAGTTTATATCGTTAGTCTGAGGAGTTTCCTTATAAACAATGGAACCACAGTACAAAATTTAGTATGAATTATCAATCTGCAGTCCAAAAACTATTTCAAGAAGTGATCAATGTTAAAGCTGTAGAAAATGCATATATCCATTAACTGCGAGTGATACGCAAATAGTCTTGAGATCAATCAACTTTTTAATAWAAGGAAGCAGGAACTCATAAAACCATCAAAAAATGAGGATCATGTCATAACACCTTTTCACAACACCAAAACAATCTTCAAACTCAAAGTAAGCGCTCAGAAACTTTTCTTCCTCCCTTGTTTTACAAGCTGGCTCATGTTTGCCAGCACCGCAAGCACCTGTGCACTTTGTAGCACGGGAATTTTTAAATACTGATTGTTCAGGATATATAGCCTATAAAAATGAAACCTCAAAGCTACATATTCTCATGCCGGGTTAAAAATAAAACCCACGCTCTCGAACGAGGGCTGTTGACTGCACTTGCAGGGAATGGCACGGGCTCTGCAGCGTCCCTGGAGAACCCCAGATGACAAAACCATAACAAAACCAACGCTCGCAGGGATTTTAAGCAGTAAATCCAAAACCGAGGGACTACAAAGCGAGCTGAATCCGACAGCTCCCAGCACAGCCTCTCACTTCTTGAAACTGGCTGTAAACAGGGAAAGGGAGGGGCCAGGCGCTTGCCAAGCCAAGCAGAAACTTGTGAGTAACTTAYAGAGGCAAAACAAGTGCAGCGCAGGCAGCGGCGCCCAGCGCGGTGCCGGGGCCGGCCGGGCCAGCAGCATGCTCCCCGGGAGAGCCACACCGGGGCCAGGCAGCCGGCTCCGTGCCTCGGCAGGGCGGCGAGGGTTCCTGGAACGCGGCGAGTGAAGGTGAGAGCCGGCGGGGCCGGGGCAGCAGCGGCAGCGGGCGGAACGCGSGGTYCCGTCTGCAGCTGAGAGCGGCGGGRTCCGGGCAGCGCCGGGCGAACCAGCGTTCATTTGTACAACAGAGGGAAGCCGGGGCTAAGGAACTGCCGGGGAGCGCTTAGGGAACGGGTCAGCTGGGATTGGAGCCGGGCTGCCGCTCGCAGGGCTCCGAGGAGCGAGCSGGACACGGCAGAGCCGCCGCGGCAATGACAAAAGGCACGGCTGGCTGCGAAATGCTGAGCGGGGCCTGCAGGCACGGCACAGCACGGCACGGCACAGCAAAGCACGGCACAGCACAGCTAAGCATAGCAAAGCACGGCACAGCACAGCTAAGCATAGCAAAGCACGGCACAGCAAAGCTCAGCTTAGCAAAGCACAGCACAGCACAGCAAAGCAAAGCACAGCACTGCACAGCACAGCAAAGCAAAGCACAGCACTGCACAGCACTGCACAGCACAGCAAAGCAAAGCACAGCACTGCACAGCACTGCACAGCACAGCAAAGCAAAGCACAGCAAAGCACTGCACTGCAAAGCACTGCACTGCAAAGCAAAGCACTGCACAGCAAAGCACTGCACAGCAAAGCACTGCACAGCAAAGCACTGCACCGCGCAGGGGACACTGCCTTCGCTGCTCAGTGATCATTAAACAGCAGCGATTTCGGCAGAAATACCTCACCTGCTAACTTAGAAGGCGTCAAGGAAATTCCTTGAGGAAGCGTTTTCATTTTGGATTTTGTTTTTGTAATTTCGGAGTAAATATTGTCATTTTCCTAAGGGTTACTATTTGACACAATCAGTCGTCTGCTATTTCTGTCATTAAAACAGAATTGTCGTGTTTAACTGCAGTTAGAAGACTCAAAGAAAAAAAAAAGGGTAATGACTAAAACCACTTGTGAAACCAGACATCCCCCTGCTCTGTAAAATACAAAGCCTGGTAGCAGACTGTTGATCTTCTGAGACAATATACAAGCAACTTATTCAGTGGCTGATGTAATTCAGTCTGGAGTAATCAAAGCTGCGTGCTTAAGGATAAACCTACATAATGGAATTACGTGAATGTATCTRTGCCTGTGCTTAGTCACCTTTGCACTCACCAGAATGCATATATTTGCAATATCTAGTTCCAGTCTGCTGCTTGCCTTGAATCGGGTCATAATAAATCAATGAGATGTAGTTTTGATTCCCTTCAGCTGTGAAAAAACCAGCTTTTCTTTTTCTTTCTTAAAAACTTAAAACAATAGATGCTTCCTGAAAACAAACTGGGTTGTTTCCACTGCTCAAACATAGAATGAGGATGGAAAGACAACACAAAGATATGATACAGTCCACTCATATGCAACAAAATAGCTGAAGAACAGGTTTGATAAAATGAACCAAAAAAGTTTTCCCACTAAGGTGAAAACAAGCTTCRAAAACAATAGAACTTCTGGTGCTGCCACAGAAGCCACTTCTCTGAGGAAATCCAACATAGRACAGTGGAATAAAAAAAAATGCTTGCCCAGCTAAAATTACTGTATTTTTAGCYTGATTTCTGGCTCAGGTTGTGGTATTTAGAAGAAAAATGCACACAAAACAACTGGTGTGGGAAATAAAACACAGAAGCTGACACAATTTTGGGACAAATTGTGTACTATGGCTGAAGAATCAAAGGATTAGCACCAGGGAGATGCAGTCACATACCCATATTCTTACAGACCCCACACGGTATAATTTAGCCATCTGGTTCACAGAGTGTAGCATGTTGTCTAGTAGCATTCATTTCTATTGCACAATGTTTACTGTGGATTGATTAAATCTTGCTCTCTCTCTCTCTGTCTGGAAAGAATCCAGGTATGTGTACTTACACTTTGCTATAGGTGCTGAAAGGGAAGCACACAAACAGAGGAGTGCGTGACAGGGAAATCACCTGCTGCACCAGCTCTGCACCGTCCCTCAAATGGGCTACCATCAATAACAGCCACGATTTTAAGGCTGCTCCTGTTTTGAGTTGTGCTTTTCAGAGATTATTTCTTGTTTCGGCATTTTGGAAAGAGGCTTTACACGATTGCTTTGAAGTTTGCTTGCGTTTCAGTTAAAACTTTATCTCTTTGCTGACGATAAAGCAAAGATGGTTGGGCCACGACTGCTGATAGTAGCATACTTTTTAAAGAATTCGAGCTATTTTGAGAGGAAATGATAGCTGATTCTGGCTTTTTTGGAAAGTCAGGCTGCCCTGATATTAGGTTCCCTGTACTACAGAGGTCCATTGTTTTTTTCAGAACTAAAAAAGGTTAGTTATAGGTTGGAAGTCTGAATACAAACTGACCTATTTAAAATTTAAAAAAAACCAACAAAAAAAACCCAACAAAACCAACCACCCCCTTTCACTTCGTTTTCCAGTATCCTCTAGTCTTCATCAATTTTATCAGTGAGCCAGTACACATCCACCATACTGCCTTGGATATGCCTCCTAAGAAAAYCTTTTTTCACAGTAAAGCTTATTTAATATGTTAAGAGATCTGTATTCTCCATCATATTGTGCTTCAGTTTATATCCTTCGCCTCTTCATGAGTTACCCGTATGTATTACTAGCTATATACAAGGTACTGCTTTATAGTTAAAAAAAATTGCATTAGTATTTATATATACATCAGTACTTAAAGATAACTTAAAACTTACTTCTGTTGAGTGTCCTGTATCAACTCATTTGCCACTAATTTAATTTAAATTAGAACTTCAGAATGTGTTAGTCTTGTGAAATTTTGAATCACAGTTGACTTTCTTCTAAACAAGCTCACGTGATGCCTATAATCTCAAAGTTTAAAGCATTTTCTTCACAGTACTTTGCATTTCATTTACAATACAGTATTTTAACAACACTTTCACTATTTCTCTCTCTACAGAGAAGCTGGTAGCCAGCAAAGACGACACAAAAGCTAAAATCACTATGTGGAGCTGTGAAGCCTTAATCAACAGTACCGAGAACAGTGAGGACCAGCATCTCTGCCATGACTTCGACCTTGTGCTTTCCATCTTTTCCCTACTCTACCTCATCATATGTTTCCCAATTGGCCTTTGTTACAACGGCCTGCTGGTCCTAGTTAACCTCTACAACAAAGCTACCATGACTATGCCAGATGTTTACTTTGTCAACATGGCCATTGCCGGTCTCATCATCAACACTCTGGCACCAATGTACCTGCTGGGTCTTGCCAATACCAAATGGGCCATCTGGAATTCCAACAATGAAGTTTATATTACCTTCCTTATTTTATTCAACGTCTCSTCGTTGGTTACCATGTACTCTACCACGCTGCTCAGCCTGGACTACTACATCGAACGGGCTCTGCCCAGGACTTACATGTCCAGCGTGTACAACACCAAACACGTCTGCGGCTTCATCTGGGGCGGTGCCATGCTCACCAGCTTCTCATCTCTCCTGTTCTACGTCTGCAACCACGTGTCCACCAAAATCATCGAGTGTTCCAAGATGCAGAACCAGGAGGCAGCGGATGCCATCATGGTGTTTATTGGTTACGTGGTGCCCGCCATCGCCGTTCTGTACGCGCTGACGCTGATCCTGCGCATCCGCAAAGAGGCCACGCCGCTGGATCAGGACACGGGGCGCCTGGATCCATCAGTGCACAGGCTTCTGATAGCCACAGTCTGCACACAGTTCACCCTCTGGACACCCTATTAYGTTATTCTCTTGGTAAGCACGTTTACTAACCTACGAGGAAAGATTGCGGATCTAAATTCCATTCAAATATTACACTTCACCACGGTGTTGTCAAAATTCCTGGCTTTCTCCAGCAGCTTTGTCATGCCTCTGCTCTACAGATACATTAACAAAAACTTTCCCAACAAATTACGGCGTTTGCTTAAAAAGATACACTGTGGGAATCAGGGGTGTTCTCACGAGCGCACAGTGGTACAGCAGGTCATGACATAGGTGTGACACAAGCCCTGGGTGTTCAGTGCTGGGACTGTGACGCTGCTCTGTTGGCACTCAAAGACTTTAGAGAGTCCCAAACCAAAGGCTGGAAGGGGCTTCCATTGCAGTTGAATGCAAGAGTCTTAATTTTCCAGTTGTTTGCTGAAGTGGTGTGAGGCTCTGGCCTGTGTGCTGCAATCCCTGTGACATCTGATACCTTCAGTGCACTGAACTGGTGACAAAGCATTAACTCTGTTTTCATGGCTCTGATCTTCCTGTCTGAAGAAATCACTAAGCAGTTTATTGAAGTCTTGACTGCAGCACCTTGTATCTTGTATAGAAAAAGGTATTGCCTTGTTTTCTGTACAAAGAAGTGATAGTGCTATCCTTGATGAAGTAAATAGCGTTTTTTTTCAATGAAGATTATATAGATGATCTTTACTGAAGATCATGTTATCCAATTATACGTGTCCAAATAGTAAATGTTAATTATAAATTAAATTATTTAATTTTTCTCCATCACTGAATCCCCTCTATAAGAAGCCTAATTTACTAYTTTCAGAAATTACTTTCTCACACAAACTAACCTGTTTTAACATCTATGATCAACTGATTTTTCTTTTAGCTACAACAATTAACAAAAATGTGTTTTATTTTTCCAGTGCTTGTTTTGTATCCTAAAACATTTCAGGAATTCAGAAATATTTATTAACTAATTCTGAGGGAACTTAGAGTTGTTTGTTCCACATATGAAAATGAAGGACACAGTGGTTTACRAAGTTAAATCAGAATTTAACTAGCAAAGATTGTCTGGCTAAGTGTTATGGTCCACATATGTTCATGTAACAAGAGTAATTATCTTAAAAAATAAATATGTTTATGATTAACATTTTGTATTTTCAAGGGATATGTTTGCAACAAATAAATTAAACTCTCTTTAATCTAGGACATCACTGGAGGTTTGGAAACCATATAAAATTCCTCAGCATAAGAACCCCAGCCAGCATCAGCCCTTTGCTAACCTCTCAAAAATGCCTTCCACTGGGATTCCTGGATACACAGTAAAGTCTAGTTTCACAGTAGGGATGAAGAAATCCAGTCCAGATCACCAAATTTTACTGATTTTATGAAATTCGTAAAAAACACAGACACACTGCAGGAAGCACATAAACAGTTACTCACAACAAGCAGCTACAAAGCACTGACCCAGGAATTACCTGTTCTTGTGCTGCTGTTGCATTCATGGCAGGAGAGGGGTAAAAGTGAAACCGATACTCTCACACTGGTTTGGGGCCACAAGACATTTTTGTCACTTGATACAGGCTACAGCATCATTTTGTTGCTTAATCTGTGACAGCACAACTCAAATTTCCTATGACTTCATCAAAAAAATGTGACTTTTCAAGCTTCAGGTATGGAAAAAAACATGGAGCAAGACCAGAACTGAAACGTTCCTATTGCTTAGAGCACAATCTCATCTGATAACTGGTCCTAGTCTGTCAGCAGAGGCCCATACTAAAGTTCTGTKTGAAAAGCAGGTGAGGAACAGACCTTTCAGACCTTTTCCTTTCAAGCAATTTCTTCCCATAGTCTTCCTTGCTGATCTTTCTGTACAAGCACCTCTAAGTTACCAACATCCTGGTGGAAGACTTCCCWTTAAGCTTTACTTTCCTTAATAGCTTTTCATATTTTATTGAATATTTTAAACCTTTAAAGCCTATAAATMATCTAAATAATCTATTTCTGTGGTGTTTTCGCCACATAAAAACTATTCAGCACAACTACTTCAATTTACTTCAGTTTTAGCCCGTTGATGAAAAGCATGTTAAGGACTGAAGCTGATTCTTATCAGTGTCCAACTCACACACATTTATAGTGCCTGTATGCTGAAATACATGATACTGGCTGCTTTGTTGGTTTTTGCCCCACCTTGAGAGATTTTCTATGAATTTCTGTGCATCTTGAGCATTCAAGCTCACTTCTACACAGAAATGCTTAAGAACAAAATCTTTCCTTACAGCTGTCAAGCAAACAGACTCCCTCTTCCTCTGAGGAAAATTAGGTTTCTTAATGSACCACATTAAATCTCTCACGTAGAATCTGTTAAAGAAATGCTGTTATGCAGRAGGAGTTCCAGCAGGGAGGAACTGGCTTATCTGGTGTGAATAGAGGCTTTCAGAACTGGGACACTGCCAGAACAGTGTGGCTGAGCAAGCAGCATTAAGTGCAATTTCAACTTCCCTGTTGCTTCCTTACTTCCATYTCCTCCTTCTCTTAAGACACTGTATTTTCTGTCTCTTAACAGATTTGTTGCCTTTATTTCTGTTCCTTTCTCTCCCTGTTAAATTCCCAGTTTCAGATCATGGCTTTTGTATCATTTCTCTTTATTGTTTTCACTTCTCTGCACAATTTATTKAACTTTCATTTCTCTCCCATCCCTGCTTGGTCCTACAAAACTGGTACTATTCAGTACTCATCTTTATTTCATCAGACTGACTCCTTTACAGTGGCCCAAATTTTATTCAACATTAGACATTATAAACAAATTTACGTAGTAAAATGGAAGCTGCTACTTAAGAGATGTAGAAAGACAGATTTTTATGTATTTTACCCGTCGGATATGAAATCTGATTTTTTCCTAATCTTTTTTACTGCAACAGAGCTACGGATGTTTGTCTGTATCCTTGATAAACACTTAATGTGATGGCAATCATAGATACAACAATTGGGATAATTTAATGAGTAAGACTGGTATCCACCTCTTTTAAAAGTTAATTTGCTGTATTGCCTCAAAGAAACTTTGCTGTGGATCTGCCTGGCTCCTGTTCTCTTAAGGAAATTCTGAACTTAATTGCAGCACCCTCACCTGGTACCTCTTAAAAGCAGTGTTCCAAAAAYAGAGAGTTTTGCAGTATTTATGTAAAGAACAGTAGAGGAGCAAGTGCAGTAAAATGCTTAAGGAAATACAAGGTATCACATATTAGGAAGAACTTTTAAGGACAAATCTTTAATATACAAAGTTCTCACGAATGGGGCCTTTCCATTTCAAATACCTGAAGGTTTCTAGTGACTGTAAATAGGGACTTATCTATTACACATTTAAATAGATATGAATAAAATACTGTATATATGCAAGATATGAATCAGCCTACTGATGTAAAAAGGATTTGCAAAGAGTTTATTAAATTATTTCTAAAAGTGTATCATTTAAATGTAAACCTCTGAACAGGAAGGTGTACTGTATGCTTCTGTATGTATATACTGTGTACTAGAAAGTAAGCACTAGTTAAGTGCCATTATTAACAGTGTTATTTTCTCACAAAATTAAACTTAATATTTGAGTTGATCTATGGCTTATAGCCCTCTCRCTGAACTGCTAATTAAGTCAAATCAATGAACTAACAAAAATGTCATGCTCTGCTTCTGTTTGAGTTATTAACACAGCAAGCTCAAGACAGGTCCTTGTTGACCAACTTAGTAGAGGTCCTAGTTTCAAAAGTTTACATTTCAGAATCAAATTTTGTTGGTCTCTGAAGATGTAATTTCTGTTAATGAAAGAAAGTGATCAGCCACCAGAAAATTCCAGGTTCTATAACAATGAAGAGATGTGGACTCYAATATCATGTCCAAATACTACAGAAATGGACTTTCTGGAAAGCTTCATAAAGGACGTATTGACTCGTAATAAATTCTCAATAAAAATGTTCAAGTGTATGTGGTCAATATGATGTGTGTATTTTTTTTATGCTTCTGTGATAAAAATCTGTTGTAGACAAGGTTAAACCTGTGTGGCTCTGCCTAATCAAAACATAACAAATTGCWTGACTTTGATGTCATATTTTTAGGCCATAATTTGACAATATTAAAATCTCATTATTCATCAGCATGAATTTGGCTGGGAATGAAAGCTAAAAGGCACATACCTCCCCTGGCTTTTTTCAGCATAAAGAATCCTGCAATTAATGAGACAGAGTAACCGTGCACCTGGAGATCAATGCAAACTTGGCCACATCCTGACAACTTCCTTTCCTTTGTGCTGCCACAATCAGCTTCCTGCAGAAACTCTCTTGGTTCTCAGAACAGCATAAAATAGCCCACACCTCTGGCATCCCAAAGAAAAAACAGCTTTTAAGAATTTAAGGTACCTTATAAAATTCATTGCAGTAACCACTGCACGTAACCAAGAGATTACTCCCCATGGATCAGTTAGTTTACACCACATATATGAGAATGTTTTTTTTTTCTTGGCTATATTTTCAAAATTACTCATTTGTTCCCTTGCAATGTTCTGCGAAGTGTAGGAGGACAGCAAGTAATAGCWAACTCTACTTGAAATGATTATTGATAAAGCCTTTAAAAAATCCTCAGTCCAAAGCACTTCTGAGTTGAAAACGGCAACTGTCAAAGTGGAAGTTGCAGTATTACACATTTTTTCAAGATGCCTTTCCTTCCATGCAGTGTTTTAAAGGGTGTTTCTACTACTCTAATAGGAGAGCCAACATCTCTGAGCAAGTACACAGCAGTGATTTTCTGATCCTTCATTCTGCAGAGCTTTTGGACACAGCCAACATGCACAGAAAGGCTGTTTGTTTCTCAGCTGGATTAGTAAAACCCCTTGCATGACACAGATTGAAGGATCTTCATGACAAGTGTTAGTTAATAAGCACAAATTCACAAGCCTACAGGTTTGTGAAGGGTGGACAACTGCATAAATGTAAGGAAAAGGTTGCTCAGGTACAACAAATTCGGGATGTTTACAYCAGTACAAACCAGGCTGATGTGGGACCTAAATCTGCCATTGTCTGTCAATACAGAGACTTCACAGAAATCAATCACATTTTGGAGCAGTCACAGAAAACACTCATTCAACTACTATATAATAGGAAAATAGGCCCCAGGGTTGTGAAGAAAATACAACGCTGCTGCCACAAACCTCAGAAGGAAGTAAAACYTTTTTTTTTTTCTTTTTTAAAACAAAAATCCAATTGAATTGTTTTTGTGCTGTGGGTATGTTGATAGGTAATGCCCCATTTATCACTGCTCAAAAAAAACAAAAGCAGCCTTAGGTCAGGCTGGAGACCTCGTGAACTTCACTGCAGCAGCACAGGACTGCTAAGGGCAAAGAAAAGCAGAACCTGCCCAAGTGCTCCTCTCAGTTCCACTGTTGGCTGAGGACTCAAAGAAGAATTGATTCTTGCCTAAGTTTCTGCAGCTGTGAAGTGCTAGACATACTGATGAATCTGAAACATCTGCTCCTAGATTAATTTGTGAAGTTAATAAGCAAAAACTTATGTATTTCTTGAATATCTCATGCAATACTTTTTCCAAGTGAATGCAATCTAATGGTACAAACCCAGCTGTGCAGACTGCCATGGCAACAAATCTGAAGTGTGAAATGTTTCCTCTGTTGAATTTCCTTTAGCTTTCCATTATATATCAAAACACTTTGACATATGCTGACTACATTCTTTTTCCATCAGGAGAGCAGAGGATCTATTATCTCCTTTGTCATCCCATTTCTTCCCACCAAGTCCTTCCCTTACCTTGAAGGTCCATTTAATTTCCTTATATTCCTTGCTTCTAAAGAACTGGGACTTTTAATTACATCTGCAAGAATTGTCAATAACACAGTCTGCAGCAGGCAGAATTTCTGTATTATTACAAATCATGATAGTAAAAGGTTATAAAACACCAGAYTCTCACCAGAGTATTTATGAATTAAATATAAAAATGTATTAAAAAAAAAAAACCACACCAAGCCTTTTCTATCTAAGTTCTTTAAAGCAAGATTTATATCAAGTGAATCCATTTGATCTAGTTTTAAAAAGTACTTGCATGCTTTTTCCCTGTTCTTAAYGGTATTATCCCAAAAGTGATGCCACTGGCACTGATGGGTTCAGCCTTGGTTGGTGGCAGGCCCATCTCAACTGGAATTGGATCTATTGGAAATGGAGAAKTTTCTGGAAGYTTCTCACARAAGCCACCCCTGTAGCCCGTCCCTGCCTCTGCCACCAAACCTTGCCAWACAAACCCAGTACAATCMCTAATTCCAAAGTGAATTGAAAAGACGAATTTTAGCCCTCCCCAAATCTGCAAATTTAAGCTAAAATTGATCTTGAAGTTGGCAGAATTTCTGCAACTGCTTCTAATCTCCAAAGTCTTCAAAAGATCATTTTGGAATGAAGTCTGGTATTGGTTTATCAAAGCTGTTTTAGAAACTCCATCTGGTGGCCAMTGGCAGAATGCTCTTGCAGTTCCCAAAAGCAATAATATCAATAATATTAGTTAAATTTAAATTAATATTTAGGGGAAAAAAAATTCAATCCCAGTTCCTGGTTAAACAGAGATTTGCACAGCTGTTCCTGCCTGCAGACAGTGAGGGTGTTGCCTCAAGTATTTGTACGAGGGAACAAAATTAACTTCAATTTGTACAAGCAACTGCTGCAGTGATGTTGAGGAGGTTGAGACCATTCTGTTTGCAAGAAAAAAACCTTAACAACGGTTAATTTTAGGTTTGTACCTAAYAGAAGGRTATTTAACCAGGCTACRAGGTCTGASTATTCACAAGGAAGCAATATTTATGGAAAAGCACATGTTTCTTGTATTGTTTCACGAAACATCTGTTACTAGTCATTGTGGTTGACAAGATCCTCAAAGACCAATGGAAGTGTCATTCCCATTTAGCTCCAGAATATTGTAATTCTTTCTAATTAAGTATGGTTTCACTAGTTCACAATGAAATAGATTTCTTACTTAATGAAGAGAGAAGTCTGAAGTTTTTCAGGTCCAGCCTAGTGCAATTAAATAATCATTCTAGCACCTGCAGTGCTATGCAGAGACCAGCTCTCTTATTAAAACTTGCCATTGAAAAAAGCTTTTTTTCCACCATTTAATAGAATGTTATTTTGAAATAGAGGCAATTTTTGAGCTCTTGCAGCTGAGTTACACAGGTGATTTACCCGTATCGAGGAATTTGTGATTGATAGTACCATTACTGTCTAGTAATAATAATAAAATACTGTTAATAAAACAACTTACATTACAAACAGCGCTCAAATAAGGAAATAATAAAATCACTAATAGTTAACCATGGGCAAGGGGCTCTGAGATGTGAAGGCAGCAATTAAGACTACACTGGGCATGGCTGTTCTAGGAGGAAAGGAAGAAATGTTGATTTACAATCAGCCTTGGAGGGGTAGGTGATCATTAATAACCAGTGCTTATGGATAAACATCACCAGCCTGCACTTTCTTAACCCCTCCAAGCAGAGAGATGAACACATTATCAAATTTTACAATTTCACATAGCTTCATATACCTTATAAATAAACACAAGAAACTGAATTCCATTTTAAAAACCACACCCAAAAACCCCTTCCTAAACCAAACACACAGGGAACATAATACAATAATAAAGCCATGTGAGGTTCTTTTATTCTAAGATGAATCCATAAACAAAATTCCTTTAACCTTCTCCCAACTTGCAATTCTTGGTTCTTTGTACAACTTTCCTCCTGTTTTGGGGTTTGGTGGTTTGGGGTTTTTTTGGGGAAGGGTGTCCTTCTTAATGTCAAAGGCCTAAAGTTCCACAGTGTTTTAATCAAGGACACAAATTTTCTTGCTGTCAAGTAAGATTAAATACACATAAAATTAACAGCAAAGCCTTTCATAAGAGGAGTTTTACAGAGTCAATATAACAAAAGCCTTAAAATAGAAGCTCCTCTCAGAAATTAGGGTTTTTTTCCCCCACAAATTTTGAGGTACTGCATTAATGTAAGTGGCTTTAATGTCTTAAAATGCCACAAAGAAAAGCTTCCAATATTTAAGCTCAGSCCTTGAAAAGAGTCAAAGCAATCTCTGACTAACACAGTGGCTAATATCCCACGCTCAAGTTATTTTTTTTCTTACACAATAACAATAGAGGAAAAATTAAGGTGGAAATGCATGGCAGTTGATGAAAAACAGCTTTGAAAAAAAAATTGCAGTGTATTGCACGATTCCAGTAACAAAGCAACTGCTTTTCATCACAATACACTGGGGTATGGGCAATAACAGTCATTTAATATTCCAAAACAATCCTATCATTCTACACAGGGATGATTTTCTTAATAACATTACATCCAAAAGGCWATAAAAGATATGTTAATTGAGAGAAGAAGACAACGGTGTGGTCTGAAAATAAATTTTGGGCTTCTCAAGCAGGATTAGCTCCCTAACAATAATCACCACCCCAGAGAATCCAGCCCAGTCCTTGGACTGACTGCAGGTTGCTGTGTCCAGGATCCTTGCTCACCCTGTTTGATGCTGCACCRAGCAAACAAGAGCTCTAATGCTCAACTGAGCATTGCAGCTCTTTGCTGAAAAACTGCTGGTGATGATTGAGAAGGAAGGTGAGCAAGGCAGGATCACCATCYCCATAAAACCTCATGGGATGGATGTGCATGAAGCCAGAGAATAAAAATACTGACAGCATTTCATAAGCCAGAAGCTTTGAAAGTGCTTGTCAGAAAAAATGAAGAAGTTTCTCTCATCTGATACACATGGATATGAGAGAAACAGTCTTCACTCCAAATTAAACCTACTGTCAGGGATGTGTGTTCTGCTAAAGACATCAGTAATACGGGTCAATTAAGAGAAATTGTAAGTGTTGGTTAAAAAAAAAAAATTGGTTTGCATCTGCTTTCTTTATAGCAACATCTGTCACTCTGTCCTGGATATATTTATTTTGC